CCTTCGTTATAATGTTCTTGATTTGTCATAGCTCATTTATGCGTGAGGAGGACACTACAATAGCCACTCTCCACACATTAGCCACAATTTCCTTGGCTATACTTTTATCTCATTCTCACAGAGATTCCTAATTTCGCTTTTTTGAGGCATAAGTTTATGTTTATCTGATGTCTCATGCTGTATTAATTTCTTTAATTATTTTTTCCTTTGCCATATACATGACGTTGGCACTAAATTGATAATTTCTTTCTAATTGTGGTGTATGCATAGGCTGTTCATTCTGGTGCAGATCTTGATTCTGCTATTTCGAATTGCACGGGCTACCTAGCAGAGGTAATATCAGGAAAAAGGTGAAATTATGTGATTATTGTCAGCATTTGAGAAAAGCTTTCTCTGTGTTCAGGGTAAAGGTTTTATGGTTGGGGTGCAAATAAATCCTGTACCTGGCTTGCCCTCGGATTTCCTGTAAGTTCATCTTCAGATTTCTTCAAATGTTTGTGGGGTTCTACCCCCAGAAAGGTGATTATAAATTAGAGTTCTGCTTTTAACAGGAATTGCCTCGGTTTATCCTTGGACACATTGAAGACAGAAATGTAGAAGCCTTGGTTGAGGTTTGTGACATTAGATTGGAAATCTGGAATCGCCATGCATGTTTATTTTCTCTGATATACTGTCCTTCAACCCCGTCCGTTTTCTACAGAGTTTGCTTGAGGCTCGTCAAGAACTTCGACCATTGTTGATGAAGTCTTCTCATTGTCTAAAGGATCTATTGACCTGGCTCTTGACTCTGCGGTTTAGGACGGCTATTGAAGATGTTATGAGGATCTGAATAATGCTGGACCAGATGTAATCCTGTTATCTTTCACCTTATCATCTGTTCCAAATATTTAATATTTTATACAATCTCTTGATTATGTGGTGTGATGATCTTAGTTACATATTTTCGTGCATCTTGCAGAAGATCATCTTCACCACACTCGTCCTAGAAAACCTTGCACTTTCATCAGATGACAATGAGGATCTGATCTATTATTTGAAGGTACAATACTGTCATACAGTGTTCTGATTATTTTTATTTCTTTAGGGTGGAAACAGATTCTAAGTTTATAATTTTCATGGGGAAATTTTGATTAATGATAATGTTCACTCTCGAGATACTGAGTTTACTAAGTCAATCGTCCTTCGTAGAACTCCATGAAAATGCTTCAATTATGGCATGCCATCGTACAAATTCCCCCTGTATGTTTACAACATGGATAATAGCTGATATTTCATTACTCATGCAGGGATGGCAACATGCCATAAGCATGTGCAGGAGTCAAAGTGGTCACTGGGACTGTATGCAAAATCAATACTAGACCGAACTCGCCTGGCACTGACTAGCAAGGCCGAGTGGTACCAACGTATTTTGCAACCATCGGCTGAATATCTTGGAACATTGCTCGGAGTAGATCCGTGGGCTGTACGTTATTATATTGCTTTAAATATCAATACTGATTGGTCACTTTAAATTTTCCACCTCTACTTGACATAGTTCCCATTTATCAAAATTGGAAGATAAAGTGCAGTCTTTGAATTTTCTTCCAGATCAGCATATTTACTGAAGAAATTATCCGTGCTGGTTCACCTGCTACTTTATCCTCGCTTATTAATCGACTCGATCCTGTCCTTAGAAAGACTGCTAATCTTGGCAGGTAGTCATCATTCTAACTGGCTTTGTTAAACGAGTCTGTCACTTTCTGGAACTTAATACTGCAAGTTGTCATGTCCTGCTACAGTTGGCAGGTTATAAGTCCAGTTGAAGTTGTTGGATACGTCGATGTTGTAGAAGAGCTGCTTGCGGTACAGGATAAATCTTACGACCGGCCTACTATTTTAGTGGCAAAACGTGTAAAAGGAGAAGAAGAAATTTCAGATGGCACGGTTGCGGTATTGACACAGGACATGCCTGATGTTTTATCACATATTTGCATCCGAGGAAGAAATTGCAAGGTGATTGGTTACCTGGTTCATTCTTATTTCTCCATAACCGATAACTTACTACGCAAGAAAGATGGGCTAATACCAACTGCAGGTTTGCTTCGCTGCATGCTTTGATCCTAATATTCTGGATGACATCAAAGCAAACAAAGGGAAATTGTTACGCCTAAAACCATCTTCTGCAGACGTAGCGTATAGGTAATGCTATCTCTAACTCGATTCTGAATGTCTAAAACATCGAAACTCGGGATACAAAACAAATCTCTTGTTTTTATACAAGCATATGTGATTTGAACTTCGTTCGTTTTTCGTGCATTAACGTAGTAAGGTGAAATATGGTGACCTACCTGGTTCAAGTAACTTGAAGGGTGATTACGGTCCGTCATCCACTTTGGTCAGAAAGCAATTTGGTGGTAAATATGCTATATCAGCTGAGGAATTTACACCTGAAATGGTCTTATTGTCTCCAAACTTCTCAAATTTCTTTGCATGATACAGCTCTAATTATGTTTTTTAACAACATTTTCTCCCCTAGGTTGGTGCGAAATCGCGTAATATCTCATATCTGAAAGGAAAAGTACCATCCTGGATTGGGATTCCCACATCAGTTGCCCTTCCATTCGGAGTATTCGAAGAGGTTCTTGCCGATAAACTAAACCAGTTTATTCTCATTCTGAACTTGGATAATGTCTCTGCTTTTGACATGATTTTGTCTACACAAAACATGTTCCTCTGTCAATATGCATTTAGATCCTCTTCTTTTCTTGTTAAAATATCATCTTATCCAAATTCTCTCCCCTTCATTTCTCAGGGGGTGCTGGAGAAGATGCAAATTTTGAAGAAAAAGTTAGGAGAAGAAGACGTCGATGCACTTGGGGAGATCCGTCGGATAATTCTACTGCTCGCATCACCACCTGAATTAGTATGCATTTTCCGTCGAGTTTGAGATGTTCACGATCACTCGGGACAGTTAGTCAGATTGATTTCAATTTCTTACTACCTTCAGGTGAAAGAGCTGAAGACCAAGATGCAGAGTTCCGGAATGCCTTGGCCCGGAGATGAAGGTGAACAGGTGGGAACAGGCATGGACTGCTAATAAAGAACGTCTGGGCTTCAAATGGAATGAGAGAGCGTATTTCGGCACCAGGAAAGTAAACTAGACCACGATATGGCTGTCCTGGTTCAGGAAATAATCAATGCCGATTATGCATTTGTCATCCATGCTACCAATCCTTCTTCGGGGGATTCGTCCGAGATCTACGCCGAGGTATGTACCACCGGTTATCCGGTGAAAGAAGGAATTATTTGCATTATGTTCGACATAGGTGGTGAATTGACTTGGCGAAACTCTTGTCGGAGCTTATCCGGTCGTGCTTTGAGTTATGTTTGCAAGAAAAACAATCTCAACTCCCTCAGGTAAAACATGAAGTTTACCGTATTATTGAAACAAATCACGTGTGATCACAAATGCGACTATCATATCCACCAACAATTTCCAAAACATTTCAGGTGTTGGGATATCCAAGCAAACCGATAGCTCTCTTCATAAGGCGTTCGATTATCTTCCGCTCCGACTCGAATGGTGAAGTTCTAGAGGGTTACGCGGGCGCCGGCCTTTATGACAGGTAATTTCCCTGCACAAATATGGTGATGTACACATATTATTCCATATGCCTCGGAAATGGAGGTCAAGATTGTGCTTCCGATCACTGACCTTTGATGATTTTAATGCAGCCGATGGACGAAGGGAAAGAATAGGCTGATTCAGTGCTCACCTCTCTGTAATTTCTATTACGATAGTAGAATCGGATAGTTCATTACTTCAAGTGAAATAAATAACATTTTATTTTATTTTATTTTACAGTATTTAGAAGCACTAAATGGGTTTTTTCCTGAAAAAAAAAATCCATAATTATGAAATTCCGTAGAAATTAATGTGTTGTGAATGCTATTTGAAAAAACTAAACAACTTAAATTTGACACTGAAATTAAAATTTAAATAAATAAATAAAATTCAACAAATATGTTTTTAACTCTGAAATTAAATTTAAATAAATAAATAAAATTCAACAAATCTAAAAAAAAAAATCAAAATCGAATTCAACACTGAAAATGGTTAGTGTAATCATAAATGTTTACTCTAACTACAAATCATGTCAATGAATACGGACGGAACTTTATGCGAGCCAAGAGGAGTTTTGACCCCGTCAATTTTTTTAAGTATTAATTAATATTAATATATATATATTTTTGAAAAATAAAAAAACATATCATACCCCTTGATTAAAAAAATTATATTTATGAAAAATAGAAAATAAAAATACTTTAACCCCGCTATAATAAATTCTTAATTCTACCCCGGACAATCAACGTACGATTAAGTTGACAATTTGTTTACTTAAACATGAACTCTAATCCTTATCTAAAAGATCTTAACAGCGTTTTAACTGAGAAATTATATAAACGTGAATAACATCATGGAAGAGAGATGAGGGAGAGTAAAAATTTTACGTTCCTTATATCCCTTTGAGCAAGGTCATGTGGAAGAACACAAGATTGACGAGAGAGTTAAGATGAACATATGAATTAAAATACAAAGCATCTGAAGGACAAACCTGTATCCCGTAAACAGTAAAATACGGAATCTCAAACTTCACGCGTATAGGAGCTTTCCTCTCCAGAGTTGCCTCTTCATCTGTTATGCTAGGAAGAGTAAACTCGGCTCTCAACACATACTCCTAGTGTTATGAATTTCAAAATTATGACTTCCATGGCTAGACAGAGCTTTTAATAAATATGTAGATGATGCCTTGCCACCAGGAAAAGATCATATTTTCCACATTAGTGCATCATTTTCAGGAGCATATGCTGCAGATCCCATTGATGTCCGAATATTTGGTCTGGAAGCATCAGCAGGCACAGGCATCGCAATCTCAACATTTGTAGCAGTACTGTCAAGAATCATTATGTCTGTATTCACGCACTTACTAATCTAATTGTAACATAAGCTCGCCTAGATATACTTGAAATTAAATGAGAGGCTTTACCTAGAAAAGGGGAAATAGTCATCATTACTAGTTGTCAAGAAATAACTGATTGGCAGAAATAAAGAAGGAAGGGAGAATGAGAATTCAGATGTAAAGGTCCACCTGAGTACTAAGTCTTTATGTCATGAGATCAAAGGACCCATCAGGAGGTATGAAGGAGATAGTCCTGTCATTTTCAAATCGGGCCAGACGTACACGCCTAAAGCAAACCATTAATGGGAGGGAAATTTGCAGCATCAGATTCAGTGGCTGTTGCAACCAGTGCTAAAAGGGAGAACGATCAGAACAAGAGTTCATGGAGAAAAGAATGTTAAGCTACATACTGATGAAACTTTATATCCTCCAAATCAGTTGTCTTTCCCTTTGTCGTTCGGCCTTGTGCCTCAAGCAATACTCTATCATTTAGACCAAGCTTACACTCGGGCATACCACTGAAAACACATAAATTGGAACCAATAAGTAAAAGATAGCTATAGCCCAAATAAAAACTTATAAAATGAAAAGATATTTTTTATGCCATAAACATCAAGACAAAAATCAATTCTCTGGAACATGTCTATATTCATGAGGGTTTGAGCTACCTACAAATACACCGAAAAGGTACGCATGAACACACTAGAATTTACAGAGCTTCCATTGTGACATGCATGAATGACATTACAAAAAGAATTTCAAATGAACAGTTTCATCAAGATGGGAGCAAAACAGAGATGGAAAGACACCATTTCTCACTAACCCAAACTTGTGAGGTGTATCCTTCGGTCAAAAGAGACGATACTACTTTAAGGGATACACCTAACTTCCAAGGTACTGTCATCTTTTGACCTACAAAATATTCCTCATTATTATTGATTTAAGCCTCTAGATATATACCATAGTGGATCGTCACAAATTCTCAATTGGAGGCATTAACAAATTGTAGGAAGTTGTCAACTCGGATCCAGGTCAAATTATATCAGTCCACTGCCAATTCAATCAGCATCACCTCCATTCTGCTGCCCTAACCCCAATCCAACTCCCCACCCCCGGCCAAATGAAATTCACATGCATCAACCTATTGATTTCAACTTGCGAATTACAAAATTGTTGAATATGAGTTTTGCTACACTAGTTAAATTATTTAGTATTGTCATTTTATTAGAAACACAATTAAGCTGTTCACAAAAAAAAAGAACATTTACATTCTTAAGTAAAGATAGAGTTGAGATAAAGTATATTCCCTTAAGACAACCCTTAAATTTTAACTATCAGATAACATACCTCAAATAAGTTCTCATCTTCAATTCCCCAACCACATCAGACCTAATTATTTGTCCATTGCTGTTGAGAAGGACGTTCATACTTTCAACCACATCTAAGAAAACCTGAAAAAGGATAATTTCGTAACCATTTTTTGATAAAACAATTAAATATTATTTTAAAAACGATTATGATTTCAATTTTGAAATTTTGAATTGATTTGGAATAAATTGGAAAAGGGAGTCGCTATCGACCTTTGGGTTAGGTAGGTCGAATACATAAAAACGTTTTTTTAAAATAATTTTAAGAAAAATCATTTTTTAGACAAAATTTGGTCTGCGTTTGCCAAAGATTCGATTAAAACGGGTTCGAGAGTTGGTTACACGTAGGGAAGGATTAGCACCCTCATAGCGCCCAAAATTGGTACTGTGTCGCTTACACATTGTTGTAAATTAGGAATCGAATATAAAATTAAAATATGATCCATTTATTGAAATATGATTAATTTACTTCGAATTAATTGTTTAGAGAAAATTCTTTAACTCGAAAAGAAATCTAGAAATTATCAATCCTCCATCGAGAAAGCTAACTCAACTATTTCTTATCAGTAAAAGAATATTCCCTCATAATTGATTTTAAAAAAATGTGAATTGAATATAAAAATGAAAAACGATCTTTGCATAAAATAAATCGCTATTTAGTAATATGCATCGCATTGTTCGACTTAAAATAAAAAAGAATTAATAAGCAAAATAAAATCAATTTTATTTCAAGTTCACATTTGTTCGAATATCATATCGGATTGTACCACTTCGATTAAGTGATACTTTCCACGCCCGTTCTACAAATACATGTTCTTCAAAATATTCAAATAAAATATCACTAAATAAGGAAATAATATGGAAATAAATACAATCGTAAAAATAAAATAATTACAACTAAATAAAAAAATTAAATTTGCTTAATGTTATACAAATAAACACATGATATGTGACATGTATAAATTCAAAAGGGACTCAAACAAAACAATAAAAAATTACATATCAAAATATAAATAGTCCAAATAAACATATTCGAAAATTTAAGGGACCAAATAAAAATAACAGAAACTTAAAGGACTAAAATAGCTAAAATAGAAAGTTAAATGACTAAAAATCTAAAATAGAAAGCTAAGGGATTAAAATAGTAAAAACATAAAGCTAAAGGACCAAAATAGCTAAAACAGAAACTTACAAGGCTAAAATAGTAAAAGCAAAAACTTAAAGGACTAAAATAGCTAAAACAGAAAGTTCAAGGACCAAAATAGCTAAAATAGGAAATCAAAGAACTAAAATAGCAAAACAGAAAGTTAAAGGACTGAACAATAATTACAAATAAACTAGAGCCCAAATCACAAATATTAAATAATACAAGCAGTAGAAATGTAAATAATCCATAAAATAATACCAAGTACTGAAATAAAATAAGCAGAAACATAAAGGACCATACCACAATTAAACCACATGTCAAACAGTGACTAAAATAGAATATTTACTAATATGGTGGCCAAATTCGAACATCAACAAAAAATAAACAACACACAAAACCGGTGACTAAAATAAAACTATGATATATATCATGACCAGATCCAAACATTAACAAAAGAGTAAAACATACAATAAGGTGACTTAAATATAAATGAGAAAAACGGAGTGCCCAAAACAGAACATAAAAAAAATTCATTTGATGATTAAATAACAAGATTACAAAATATGAGGGGACCAAACGTGCTATTTACCCCCTAGGCTGAAACACTCATGCCTAGACCCTTGAAACGATGTCGTTCGGGTCACCTGAGTATTCATCATGTTCTAAACTCATCTTTTTTCGTAAAAAAATGATGACAGTCTGATCTTAACGTTGACTTGCTAACTGAGATATAATAAAATAAATATCGTAATCTCAAACGATTACCATATATCAGTCAACATGTTAATGTCCAACTTATACGACTGTTAAAATTTTTTATGAAAAAATATGAGTTTGAAACCTAATCAATAGTCAGGTGATTATTCGCGATCTTCAAAACCGAGATTTAAAGTCAAAGAAATGAGAACATAAAGAACACCCATAACTTTTCATTAAGAACAAAATTGACGAAAACAATGGCAAAGATCTCTTTATTTCTTTCTTTCAGCGGTTCTTTATCTTCCAGCCAGAAGAAGAAAAAAAGGGAAAGGGAAAGCATTCTTTTGTGAAAGCCTCTTTAAAGAATTAAATTAAAGACTATAGGCTATCCCACACAATTTGGCGCCAAAATTCAAGTCAAATCCCCTCCTTTTGTCTTTATTTAATTTTTCTCCCTCCGTTTTCCCTTTTATGCTTATGTCACGATTTCCCTCGGATTCTCTTTTTTAAGTTTTGATTGGTATTATAAACGCCACACATTAGTGACTTATTTATGTATAAATCATAGATTTAATAATATATATATATATATATATTAAATCGGGACCAATACAAATATAAATGTATACTTCTAAGTTTATCTTAAAAATTCAAGTTAAATTTTGAATTCAAATCAGATTTAGTAACTAATAAAATATAAGGTAGGTTACGCGTTTAATATCTAAACTATCAATTCTGATATGTTTTAGTATTTAAACTTTTAATTTTTTTAAAATCATGCCTAAAGTTTAGTTTTTGTTTCATTTCAGTACACTCATTCAAAATTTAAAGTTAAATTTTGAAATAATTGAAAGTTTGGATACTAAAACGGACTAAAACTGATAGTTTAGATACTAAACGCGTTAAGTTTTTAACGACGAGATACTAAAATGAAACAAAAATTAAGCGTTAGGTATGGTTTTAAAAAATAATAAAAGTTTAAGTACAAAAACAGATTAAAACTAATAATGTATGTACTAAATACGTAATTTACCCTAAATGTATATTATATTCAAATAAAATTCAATCGGACGAGAACTATAACAATCCCTAATTCCAGCCGACATTCATTTTTGCCTCCTCCCACTTCACATTTTTTTATTCTGTAAACCGTTATATAATTGTGCTTATTTAAAGCCCTTTGTATTTGGCTGCAAAACATTTTAGCTTCTCTCTCATTTTTCCACAGTTCAGGGCCTTCACTTTCTTGCTAACCAAACGCTCTCTATTCCTTTCCATTTCCGCCACTTTCCTCCTGCTTTCCTCTTGATTCTCTCCACAAAAGGAAAAGAAAAGATATTAAAAAAAACCATATTCTTTTATTCCTCCTGCTTTATTCCATCATTCCTTCCAGGATATCTATAATTGTAGCCGGAAAATTCAATCTTTGATCCAAGGAAATGGGGTTTTCAAGGAAGCCAAAGGTGGACGACGGCTTAGAATCCGAAGGCCAAAAATGGGTCTTGGCCATGATTTCCATACGAGCTCCATTGAAGCCCATATACACAAAATCAAGTGACCCTCCATTGAAAAAAGATAACGATGAAGATGAAGAATCATCGACTCCGACCGGAGAAGAAGCCAGGATTCGGACTCTATTCAACTCTCCACCGCCTGCTCCGAGGAAGCCAAAAGCTTCGTTCAAGTGTAATAATAATAACTATGGAAGAACAGGAGTGAGAGAGTTCTTCACTCCCCCAGATTTGGAGACTGTGTTTATAAGGGAAAGGGCTAGTTAATTTACTTTCTCTTACCCTTCCTCTTTAATTTATCTGTTTTAGGCTACTTTGTAGTGACGATCATTTGAAGTTCGTGTACATAAATAACATGGAAATCTTTAGCTTCTTTTATTTTGCTGTCAAGTTTCTATATATAGTATAGTTCTTTTTTCTGGAATCTGTATTGAATCTATCAGCAATCAGAGCTGCAACTTTAATGGAGAAAATTCTAAATCATCCCATTTTCAGTATTCAAGTTTCATACACTAATTTACTTCAGTGATTAAAAAAATCATTAGGTTCGAGAATCGACGACAATAACAGAATAATTAAACGTTCATTATCGAATAATTAAAAATATTTATAACTAATATCATCATCTTAACCTAATAAAACAAAAACTCAAAGTTCAGAGAATATTTTTTCTGAAACAACTGTTCATATTCATGCGTGGTAGTGACACATGCAAGCCAGCATCTAACTAGGGTTAATATCTTACTCCAAAAGTTGCCAAAAGCACGTTAAAAGGTGTATAAAACTTGTGATAAGGTTTATTAACAGTAGAGTGATACTAAGTTAATATCCATTTAAAGGGTAAAATTATAAGAAAATTTTAAATTTTTATAAAGACCACTATCCAGCATCCTCTCGGTCAATCCAACTTCACTGTCATCCATAAATGAAACTTAGTATTTTGCAATCCTAAAGACCCTCTACCCAGCTCTGACTCTGATGAAAGTGGGAAGTTTCATTGTAATGTGACTTCAATAACTCAAAGGAAAGAGAAAAGGGCACGAGTGTGGGGTTTCTTCTTCATTTGAATGGGGACCTTATTCAACTCTTCAAAACCCTCCAATAATTGACAATATTGTTACTCGCCTCTTCATTTTCTTGCGTAAACTATGCATTTAATATTTAAGTTATCAGTTTCCGCTCGTTTTGGTACCTAAGCTATCAAATTTTTTTAACACCATACTTTACGTTTAGTTTTTGTTTCATCTTAATATCTCATCGTTAGAAACTTAACGTGTTTAATACCTAAACTATCAGTTTTGAACCATTTTTGTATCTAAACTTTCAATTCTTCTCAAACCATAACGTTAAATTTTGAACGGAGTAGTAAGATGAAACAAAAACTGAACTTCGGGTATGGTTTTGAAAAAATTGAAAGTTTAAGTACGAAAACGAATCAAAACTGATAATTTAGATACTATAAGTATTCAAAAGCACAAATAGAAAGAAAGATAATGTATTTGTTTGTAATTGAAGAATGTGAAGGAGATGGCCTGGATAATGGATCCAAATCCAAGCTAGCCATTGTTCAAAAAGTGGACAAGGGGGAGTTCATGTAATCCGAAGATGATTTTGTACAAAGGAAAAAAACAGAACATTTCTGGGGATCAGATCCAGGAGATTGAAGCAATCATGTTCCAACACGTACAGCCAATCAAAATGGTTTTGGATTAGATTATTAACTTAACCAAAGTGTGATTATTGGAGACCACATGGAGGGTTGATACCTTGTAATAATATAGTACTGCTTTTCCACTTGTGTCGTGGAAGGAGACAAGGGCGCAATGGGGTAAATAATGCAACCATATTATATAGCAGGGTTGAAGCGTATCCAATAATGTCAACCGGCGCAAAAAATATTAGAGACATATGGGAGGACGTCCGACTCAAGGGTGACAAAGTTGATTGGCAGAGACTGATTTGGTATCCACACCACATCCTCAAACATAGCTTAATAGCATGGATGGCTCACTTGGATCGTCTACCTACAAGAAACCGACTTCAAAGAATGGGCATCACCACCGAAGGGGACTGTATTTTATGCTCTAATGCTATGGAAACAAGGGACCATCTGTTCTTACTATGCCCAATGGCTATTTCCTTATGGGATTCTATAATGAACCTTAATGGGTTGAGAATTTCTACTTCGTCATGGGAAGACAAGGAAAGATGAGCATGTAACGCTTGGAAAGGTAAACCGCTTCTCACAACAATATTAAAAATTGCTTGGTGTGCTTATATATATACTCTATGGGAGGAAAGAAACCGAAGAATGTTTCGAGGTAGCGCAAAAACAACCGAGGATCTCCTCAAAGTCATTAAGGAAAGCGTAGGAATACAATTAAAAGGGAAAACAAATCAATAGAATTGATAGCATAAACCTCACTCTTTAAAATTCTTGGGGTATTGTCTAACCGATCATTTTCTTTTGTATAGTTGAATGTTGAACTATGTTGATGATTGTACTTTAGCAGAATTGTGATTCTTTCGAGCAATACAAATTTGAATTATCTAAAAAAAATTAGGGATGAGTATGAGATTTGGATTCGATGATTTTTAAATTGACTTGATTTTATAAGATCATATTTAAAAAAGAAAGAATTAGATTAAGTCGGGTTATTTTTAAAAGATAAGATCGAGTTGATTTTATGATGACACTTTTTATAAAATACGAGAAAATAATATAATTATATGTAGAGATGATTGCAATAATACATTTCGATGTATTTTTTAATTATATCTTTTTTACCTAACAAAATAGATTATATATATATATGTATTGAGTTTGGTGCGAATTTTTATCTCAAAAATTCATTCGAGTTTTAAATAGGATAAAATATCTTTAAACCGCACCGAATTGGATGATAAGTGAGCATATAGAAGGCTCTAATCAACCAAAAATTCGACCTAATATATGTTCATCCTAAATATAATATTTACTTAATATACTCTGTAAACACGACTACTAAAATTTGTGACCTCTAAAAGAAATAATACTATTGTTTTTACTACCGAGACCACTCAATAGGTTAATTTAACTTTAAACTTAAACAACTTTACCCTCCTAACGTTTGTTTCTAATATTGTCTGTGTCGTTTACATAAAATATATTTGAATATATAATCTCATTTAATCGAAATAAATATAAGGGTAAAATATACTATTTCTCATTGAATTTTATCATCTCTTCTATTTTACTCATTATACTTTTATTTTTTTAAAATTTATTCACTCAACTTTTGAATTGTTCATGTTTTGATTACTCTGAATTATTTTATTATTATTTTCATACGATGTGACATTTATTATTATTATTATTATTTAATATAAAAAAACAAAAGGTGATTGTCTACTGTTCACCGGTGCTAGACGCCACTGCCGGTTGTGTCGACTGCCATAAATGGTGATCATTCGGTCTCAAATTTCATGGGTCGATTCGGCTCAACCCCTTGAGTCTAAATTTGGTAGTTGTTTCACCAGAAAATGTCTCAGAACCCGTGAATCTCGATTGAAACATTTCGACTTCCTCACTTTCGATATCCAATTCATGAACTTTGTAGTAAGTTCTGAAAAAATGAAGGTATGATTCAGACTAAGAGTGTTGAGGCAAAGCGGCCATGAAATTTTAGATCAAACGATCAGCATCTTCGACGACAACGATGACGTCCAACACCGACAAACAGTGGACAACCACCTTCTATTTTTATTTTCTATTTTAGATTATTTTTATATTAAATAATAATAGAAAATGTCACGTCATGCGAAGATAATAACAACATTATTTAAAGTGATCAAAATAAAAGTAATTCAAAAGTTCAATAAATAAATTAGAAAAATATTAAAAATATATTAAGTAAAATAAGATAGTAAAATTAAGTGATGAATGATGTAATTTACGCGAACTCAGATACATAAGATTCATAAGCAAATTATATGTGGTAAAATGCATTGCGTGTGGGGACGGCCTGGACTTGAACGGCTGGACCAGAACAGAAGGGTTTGGCAGCTAGCAGCCCAAAGCCGACAATGTTGACCGGTAAAAATGTCAACATCGGGTGTCAAAAATGTCCCATATATGTATGAGCCTTGAACATCATCTTCTCAATCATAAATAAAGCACATAAAGAATAGAGTTACTGATGATCTTCATGAACAACATAATCATCAAAGTCCATAATGACTCTTTTAACAGTACAAGAGATGACAATGACTCAAAGGTAGTTCAACTAACCTTTCTCCTTACAAATACAAATCTTTATGTTTAATTCAGTACCTGACATTGCATACTGCAGGGAAATGCATGACCTTTTACTAATACCTGAATTGAGTATCAACTCAAAGCTTAGCAATTATCCCATTCTGGATAGGTTTCGTTGCGATATCGCTGTCCTTGAGCTCCAGATCGGCTGCGCTAGGGGGAACATTGACCGCCGTTGATCAATTGAAGAAACCGTGTGGCTGCATTACGATCACCAAAGGGTAACTTTTAGATGTCGGTAAAAATTATGACTTATCGGAAAAGGAAAACATGTCGAGGAACTTATGCTACCATGAGCATGAAACCGATGCGTTCCACCGGAATCACAGGCCAGTCTTCCAGCCGAGGAATGCGTGTCACTCCAAAGACGTACCTGCACATGATTGCAGTTAAATGCAAATATAGATGATATGTACTGAGATGACTGTGACTGCATATAAAGTTGGATGCTATGAGAAACATGTATAAGAGACTAACCACAGAACTATATCAGCTTCTTCCAAGGATCGGTTCTGCTTAACTCAAGTAGCTAATCCCTCCCCGGCTCGCAGATTTTGATTCGGAAACTCCCCTCCAGGATACATTTCTTCACGAGAATAGGGTGTGACCCAAAGGTTATGTTTCAAGAAAGCTGCTCTTCTCAGAAATTTTGCCTCAGAGCCAGCCAGTGGTAAACAATTCGAACCAGGTACGAGTTTGAAGCCTGTCAGCTGCCCGGTCCGGTTGACATTTCGTGTGTTTCGAACCTAAAAATTCGGAAATAGCAAGTACGGTTCAGGGATCAACTTCTTGAACAGTGCAGAAGATTCAGGCATTTTCCAAGATTTCTTTTAACATGCATATAAAAGAGCTAGTCGAGCAAGGCAAAATAACTTGAGCTAAGACTAAACGATATTCAAGTAAGAGATAAGTTGATGGGATCGCAATTACGTACAATCCAGTGGCGTGCAGACAACGGATCACAATCACGCATTGCTTGTAAGTCGGATCTGAGTAGCTCCTCTTCAGCATAGAATGCATTGTTATGAACATTATTCTTCCCTGGTTCTTCAACTTTAAGATTCATCTCGACCACCTGTAAGAATGCATAAAAGTTTTAGTTTTGCATGAATTAAGGTTGAATAACTCCACGCTTTCTTTCAATAGGAGCAACCGGCGGTGGAAAGACATGGTGGTGATCAATGTTACAAGCTAAAACTGCCACGAACATTTTACTCGCAAAACAATCGATATCATAGGATGCATTACAGGCAACAAATGTCAATCTAATGAAGGAGCCAAATCATTGTTCAGGAATAACGTGACTGCTTACTTGATTAAATGCTTCCCGGGTTTACAATCAACCGCCATGTCCATGTGAGCCACGAAAAAGTGTTGATGGACAGGGGCATATAAACCAGGAGCGATGGTTGTGCCATATTTCCGTGTTTCACCAGGCTCCTAAGCTGAGAATTCCAGTGAGTTTAACCTCAGCTTCAATTTTACCATCCTATAACATGCGTCCGCCAATCAAATTTTAAGTGACACAGCTTTCAAATCAAAGGAGAATACATCATTAAAAAATGTAGAAGGCAACAACAGATAGTTCGATACAGCGAATACATATAGTGTATAGCAGCACAACAGCTAGCATATTCATGCAAAGTAAGCAAATACAATCCTGGAAGACACCAACTTGCCTGATAGAAATGCCAGAAAAATTCATATTCATATTTAGCCACAGTACATATAAATGACACCGTCAGTCTTCTCGATCGTCGTACTTCTGCTAAACCTGTTCTCCAGTCTTGATGCTTCCATAAGATCCCATGGTCCTCGTGCAAACAAACACAATTCTCAATTGTTTCAACACCTCCAGTGAAATTCGTAAAATGGGAATCAAAGTACTTGATATATCCCAAACAATCACAGCCCTACAAAAGATAAGAAGTGAATGAGGAGAAATTTCAACTTAAATTAAGAGAGATGGAAGGATCTAAATGAAACACGACATGAAAACATAAACACAAAAGCAGATACACACCTTAAGAGAATGTGCATTTTTACCCAGCCCATCTTCTCCAGCATCAAATCCATTCTTCCAATAATGTGGATCATTTGGATCTCCATAAGGATCTACCATTTCAACAAAACTTAATCTATGGGCTATAGGCCTCCTGCCACGACTACCGTCGACATAAGCAATAGAATAGATTACAAGACCCTCCCTAGGAGTGAAACCAATTCGGAAATTCCACTGAAACCAGAGTTACAAATAAAATAAATCAGTGCATCTTGAACTGATTAAAGTTATAAACATAGTTTCACTACTAGTCACCTTTTACCATTCAACAAAATTCCCATTAACACGAAAACTGGGACCATCAGGTTGAATGATTTGTAGTGGTCTCACATCACTACGATCGACACCTCCTCTTGTTTCACCAGGAGAGTAATTTCTTAAAGGATCAGCTGGTGGAAGGGGAACAAGTTTACGGTCTTCAAATTCAATCACCACCATATTTTGCATGTCGACAAGGACATGTATTCCCTCAACCGGACGAGCGTAGCCATTTTCTATGGGACAGTCACTCTCACTCTCAGTTCTGCAGAAGATAAGTGGTTCAGCAAGTCTTCGGCTAGGAGCATCAGAACCGCTATGATATCCCACACACCTATAGAATGGCAAGTAACCGAATATGGAAGGGTAAGAGTCAACTGTAATAGAGAAATAATTCTATAGAATGCCAAGGCATAGGAAGCTAAGGATGATCACTTACCAGGGATCAACCATCACAAGATCCATATCCTCAATACCCCTCTTTTTCATTGCCTCACATTCAGCATATTCCATAGCATCCTACAGTTTGAGAATAAGAACATTAATGGACAAACATGCCGGTTACAAATTTATCATGTATGCTGGATGCAAAAAACCATAACAAAGGACAAGCACAACATAGATTAACTAATGAAATCGCTTATTAGAAGTGTTCGAATAGCATTTTGTGACAGTTGGTCTAGTCTAAACCATACCTATAGAAATACTTTCATATTCTAAAAAGAGAAGACGCATGTTTACCATGGGAGGTTGGACATCTGCAACAACTTTAGACGAAATTACTTTGCCCCTGTGGTGGCCTCCTCGAGTTGCAGCGTGAACTCCCGACAATTCAACAATCCATGCACTAGTCTCATTGGACCTTTTGTTGTAAACAAGTCTTGCATGGAGCGGAGGAAGCTTAGTAGGAATAACATGTCCACCCTTTGTCCTGGGAATTAATGAAAGGCTGGAAAGGAGGGGAAAAATACGCATCCGCCAATGCGACAGCCTGCTTCTCTGTTTCCACCAAAACCACATCGATAAAGCGCATGCTATCTCTCACCTAAGGAAAGAAAATATGCATATCATTCATTCATATAAAGAAAATAGCTACTGAAATGATAACATCAAAATTGAAGCAACAATACAAGTTAAACTAAGACAACATACGCATCCATTGATTCACGTGAACAAAAATAGGTACTAAAATGCTAAAATCAAAAGTGAAGCAACAATACAAGTTAACTGTTGAATAAATTTCTTGTTTTTACCTCGGGTTGCTCCAGCTGCCCTTACTGTTGCCACTGCAACAGAGATTTCAGCAGCAGACAATGGATCCAATGGATGGCTGGTTTGAGCCCTTGGCATGACTGAAATACCTAGGCAACATAATCACCAAATCGAACATGAAACATATCTAATAATATCATCATATGATTGATTGAAAACCTACAACAGATTTTCATTGGAAAATTATAGTTCACTCACTCACAATCCGTCAATTTTTTTTATCTAAATCTGAATCTATAAATTAATTAATAAAAAAAATGATCTAAAATGATTGAAAATAGAAATAATACGAATCTAAAAATAATTCAAAATTTTAAAAAGTAAAATAATATGAGTCTGAAACAATTTAGAGACCAGATCATGTATTTTTAAATTAAAACTACCGCCCTTAGGGCGTTAACTGTTCAGTTAAAACTTAATTAACCGACCGAACGGTTAATGATTTTTTTTCAAATTTCGGTTTTGGTTAATTCGGTTCGAAATCAGTTAATTAACCGAAATTATTAAATATTTAATAACATATTTATATATATATTATTTAGCTTTAGTGTATTTGAACTTAGTTTTTACCGAATTAACCAATTAAATTAATCGAAAAAACCAAAAAATCTTAAATATTTAATATATAATATATATTATTTATAAATTTCGGTTAATTCAGTTAACTGATCAATTAACCGAACTTAGTTCGGTTCAGTTAATTTTTTTTTAGAAAAAATTTGGTTCGGTTAACGGTTAATGGGGAAAAATTCGGTTAATGGAGAGAAATTCGGTTAATGAAACTTGGGTAATTTGGTTCGATTAGTTAACCGAATTACCCGTTTGAACACCCTAACCGCCGTACATTATTATTTCAATAAAATTCCACATAAATCTAAATCAACCGAATTTTTTGATTAAATTTGGTGCAATTAGCATAAACAAAACTTCACTCAATTCTTTTCAGTGCCACTTCTATTGATGGACAACAACTTATTGAACATTCTTTTGGGTCCGGTAGGAAGAGCACAGAAAGCCTTGAACATGGAAGTTCTTCCGATTCCGTCGGGGTTCATGTCGTTTTCATCCAAATCATCGTCTCGAGCGTCCTTCGTCCGTAACGTCGAAGCTCTGGACTTCGGGGTCTTAATGCCCGACATGCTCCATTGGTCATCTGCTGGAATGTTGCTAGTAGTAGTAGTTCTTAAAGGCCCTGGAGGCTTAGATGGATCGATGTTATGCGAGGCTAAAAGTGCCTTGATGTTGCTAGGGAGCTCGGTCACTTTTCCACCAGTAGCAGCTCTTCGAGCTTGCTCGAAGAACAGAACTTGTACCACTACTCTAAGTGGAAGCTTTTCATTTTGAGCAGCATGCATACAGGCCTCGACCGACAGCTTTTTGCAGTCGAGGATTCGGCATAGCTTTTTTCGTTCATTCTTGTTTAGGTCCGGGTGTGCCTGGACATACATAAACAAAATCTAGTTCCATCTGCAATTTTATTATATGGTAAACTAATGAGGCCAGAAAAACAGTTTGTATGTACCTTGAGATAAATGTCGATGGCTCGGTAGAGATCGCCGTGATCAGGCCGGGAGAAATTCGGTATAGTCTCAGCTATAGCAATGAATTTAGACAGGGGAAGATTTTTGTCTCTGGCGATCTCTAGGAGATATCCATCAACAATTCTAGCTACTTTTAGTTTGGAACTATGTGATGCAGAAGAAGATCTCCTAGCTTCCTGAAGCTCGATATCGACAATCTCGGCCGAACGCGACTTCCTTCTCCTCTCAATCCCCAGCTTGGATCTTGGAGGGCTCGTAGGAGGGCTTTGTCCTTGTGACATGAATTGTTCCAAAATGGACTGAACCATGTCGACATCGTAGAGGGTTTCGCTCGAGTGTGATAAACAAGGTATCAACAGATCACTGACTCTTGCTTCCTCTAATTGAAGTGCTATTCTTCGAACCAATTCCATCTTCGAAGATGATGAAGCATTAAGAATGTTGGCCGCTTTCAAGAGCTTAAGTAGAAAACTGCAAGAAGCGGCACCTTTTTCCGATGGGAGTAAGCTTACTATAGATTCCAACAGCAGCCTGTGCTTCGATGTAACCTCATTAGCCGAATCCGAATCCGAGCTTGATGCCGTTGCTTCTTCTTTGTTAGTGTTTACCTTTCCCGATATGTTCAGTAGCCATCGAGATGCATATACTCGCAACGCTTCACCGATGAGATTAGAAGGTATTTTCCCACCAGATTTAATAGCTATCATGGTTCTCCAGTACAAGTCAATACTCAACTCAGCAACATCCTCAGCCCACCAACCTTTGATTGTCGATCGGTGACGCTGGCTCTCGGCTTCATTACATGATATATCATCCCTAGCCCTCCTCGAATGATTATGCGACAGGCAGACCTTCGAAGGGTGCGTCAAAACTTTCGACGCAATCGATTCTATGCATCTGCTCGTGATCCCGAGGTCTTCGGACCATAAAGGAAACGCCTTGGTGCTTTGCAGGGTCACAATAGTGTCTTTCCAACCATGCAGGACGCAGGAATTGAAGAAAACACCAACTTTGTAAACCAAGTTCCCTTTCTCGACATCTTCGGTCATCTGCAAATATTCGGCAGCACATCGGACCTCGACGATGTTATAGGCGCTGAGGGTGATCGTGATGCCATAACAGAACTTAGCACAAAGCTCAAAAGCCTCGATCCCGCCAGGGAAATCGGGTAACTGGATTATTTGTCGTTGTAATGTTTCAGGGGATTCAGAACATATCCTTTGCAGCCTCAAACACTTTGACAACAAAGGAAACTGCTTGTACAATGAATCAAACAATCAGTATAAGAAAAGAGAATGAATTGAACCACAACAATCTGAGAAGAAGAAAAACTACCTTGTGAAGCATATATCTGCTTCCTTTCACTTGAATTATAAGGTCACTAGAGACATCAGAAGAGACAGACCTGCATCAAGAAAAGAAATTCATGGAATCTTCCTAGAAAAAGAACAAGAAAACGGAGAGTTGATTGTCTTCATAATCATACCTAACAGCCTCAACACTGTAGAAGGTGTCTGGTCGCGATCCAAGTTTCATAAACTTCATGTCTGGGTTTTGTGTTCTTCACCAGCTAAAAATTAGCATGACGGGAACTAATAAAGCTCGTTTCTTGGTGCACCAAACCAGACCAGACCATCAATCCAAAACCACCCAACCAAGCAAACCCCAAACTGTCAAGTGAAGAAAACCAAAAAGAACAAACGATCCAAATTCCATTCGCCATTTGGTTTGGACATGCAAAACAAAGAATCAAAGCCATTGCAGTGTAAACATAGAAGAAAACAAGAAAGTTGAGGTTCACTATGTTACTCTAATTCGAAAGAAAGAATGTTTCTTGAGACAACCTGAAATCCGACACCAACTGCCAACCATTCATCGGATAATTCAACTTGTACATATATATATATATATATATATATATATATATATGTATGTATGTATGTATGTATGTATATGTATATATATATGTGTGGTTTAGATTTTAAAGCCTTAGGCTTGAAGGGCATTTTTCGACTGCCAGCGAGCAATAAGAAAGGCAGCACCCACGTGCTAAGTGACCTTCTTTATCATCATTGCTACACCAAAATGTTTTACATTTATTTCATCTGTACGGCCCTAGGCTTATTTTAGCCAAAAACTAGTTTATACGAAGCATCGTACGCCACTCAATTACCATTTATAATGTCTGCTAACTTTACACAGAGAAAGTAAAGAGGAAAAAGCTCAAGGAAGGAATAGAATATAATGTGTATGGCTATTATAGTTGCCTTTAACCACAGTCGCCGACGACTTTTAAACATTGCAGATTATCATATATTTTTAATAATTGAGTGTCTGCAATCTGCATTATGAACCACAACTACAAAAATCTGGAGCTGAACTGCCATTTGTGATTTTCACTAAAATATCACCAACAACCCTTTCCTCAAATTTAATCCAAAATGGCCCAATGATCATGAAGTTGAGCAGATCATTGATGTGAATGTTAGTATGATGAGAGAGGAGAAAGTGTGTTCTTTTTTCATCTTCAGTTGTAAAAGGGATTCATTAATGCAGTTGAAGGTCACAAGCTTTATATAATATCTTATTCTAATGGCTGAGATTCACAGCATGCTCAAGCGAAAATCCAGATAGAAATCACAAGGAAAAATCAGAATAAACAAAGAAAAACAAAAAGGGAACTGGGTTTTCATGGTCACCTGATTTAGCTCAAGATGTTTCAATGGGGAATTTCTTCAAGCTGCTACATATGATGAAGTGAAAAGAGAAACAAAAAGGGTATAAAAATAAAGCCAGAACAAGTATTCTCTGCAAATCCAACCAATAAATAAGTTGAAAACGTAACATTAAACAACTTGGTTTTGTTAAAGTGGCCATTTTGTCTACCTAAATGTTGTGCAGAACGGAGGCATGATCACAAGGGAGACTAAGACATAGTCTCCGTTTAGGCTCAATCATTGTCCACTAAAGACCGAGACCGAGGATTCGTCTTGACTCGATCGATGCCGGCCCTAAGGCCAGGCAAGGTTGGTGACCTTGGATATCTTTTTTGGTGTAGGCTAAGGATAATGTACTGAAATTGAGTGGAGATGGATACAGGGTGAAGTTTCCTGTGGGGGATAATTTGATGTCAACCTTACGTGCGAGGAAAGGGTAATCCACAAATGCCTGTAATGGTCCTTCTCAGTGCTACCTTAGGGGTCGGCCACCCGACAACATCTCCTTTAGTAGGACCATTTTGGGGTCCATTTTGTGGGACCCTTTGTAGTTTGGATCATTAGGGGTTGAATTTTTGAAGCTTAAGAAAATTTGGATCTCATTAAATTCTTGTTGAAAATGTTTATGGTATAAGGAGCGGTTTAGAAAGATTGGACTAAATGAAAGAAGATAATGATCAGCAAGATTAGAATTTTGAAAAGAGTGATTATATCTTCATCGAGTTTATATTTTTAAGTAAGATTTCGAGTTTGAATCTTTTGAATGAGTTTTTTTCTTCCTTTATTTAAGGGTTTGATTTAACTGAAATTTAGATATAATCGAAACTCGTATAACTATTAAACACCGAAAGACTCGAACAAAAAAATGGAATTTTGAAGAAAGAAACTTATAATTGATGCATGGTGGCGGGCAGAAGGTGACAGGTGAATCCTCCTCCGAGTGCATAATTGTTCAGAGATTTGCTTTGGGGAATCAATGAAAATCAGAAGAGAATATACATGTTTCCAACTCTCTCTCTCTCTCTCTCTCTCTCTCTCTCTCTCTCTCTCTCTCTCTCTCTTTTAAAAGTTACAATTTAACCACTTTATTAAAATATTATTATAAATATAGATTTGTTCGTTAAATATTGAATGAAATAGTGACCTGACTTAATATAATAGCAGTTTTAATCCTCAAAACTTATCCATCAATTTAATTCTAATTTGAACCTTCATATTAAAAACTATTAATTTTGTATTTGTTGTTCTTCTATCATAAATGTTAGTACTATTTTCTTGTTGCTTTTCTGATATAATAACAATTTAACAGTCACTTATTACAATTTTATAGTAGTAGAATGCAATTATCCAACTACTGTTTTGATCAAATGAGCTCATTTGCTTTGATAGTATCGTAAGAAAATGAATAAATTGTTGTAAATTTGTAAATATGAAAGATTAAGTTTAGTAAATTATATAGAATTAAGATCAAATTAATAGAATATATAAATCTGGGAATACTAATATTGTTATTGTACGGGCTACATTAGACATTTATTTCAATTTTAACAATAGAGTGACCTATTTATAACAATATCTTAATTGAATGATCAAATTAAAATTTTTAAAAAGAAAAATATACCAATTTATAACCAAACAATTTGCTTCAACTCGGTGCTATATATGTCTGTCTGTCAGTCAGTCATTTACATAAAACCCAACTTTCTAGAGCGCGGAATCTGGAACATATTACAAGGGGGAAAAGAAGGTAAACTCACACGCTCATCTTGTCGGTGTTGGAGACTTGTGAATTGTAACCTTCAGGGGCAGTGGTGGTGCCGCCTGTCACGGCAGTGGCCCTGCCTGCATGGATCCGAATAAATGTCACTTTCAGCTTGTTTTCCTATGACGTGGCTGGCTCGTTTACCGGTGGGGTTTATGCGTTTCTAATGAATCAGGCCTTGAAGAAAAGAACAAAAACTATTGATCATAGATTGAGCGGGTGTCACAATATAATTTGATGTATAACTGTTGGATTTTGCAGTGCTCGAATTTGCTAGACAGGTTCACTTAATGATGGCAACCTATCGGGTTAGGGTTAGGTTTTTTAATCAATCTGACTCGACTTGAAAATATGCATCTTTCATTTAAATCTAACTCGACCTAAAAATTTTATTTCTATTTGATTCCCGCTGAACAAAAAAAATATATACCTACTACACGATTGCAATCATACTTGAATTTTTAGAATATAAATCCAATTCAATCCGATTCGACTTGATATAAAATAAAGACTTAATTAAAAAAATTAATAAAAATTTGAAGGAAATTATATTATTATCCTCGGGTAGGGTTCAGGTGAAGGCTGATTCGACCCAACCCGGCCCGAGTTTACTCCATAAAATTCGACATGATTCGACCTGAACTTGGATTTTCTATTTTAAATCTAATCTTATCAAATAGAATCATGTTAGAACCCGTCAGAGTCGGGTTAAATTGCTATCTTTAGATTCATTGCGTGTCAAGTAAAGGTGTGCAAAATCGTATATCTAATCCGAAAATTTGGATATCCGAAAATTTCGGATGCCTAAAATAGTGATCCTTATCCGGTCCGAAAAATAAAATTTTAGATATTCTGTTTTTTCGGATCGGAAATCGAATCCGAATATAAAATTTAACTTGACAGAAAAAATTAATTTTAAATTTTTAACTTTTTTGATTTAATGTTATATATTTGGTACTTCTACTATATTATATATATAATTACTACACACAATAAATAATTAAATACTCTAATTTTTATTAAGTTAGAGCTTTAATGAGTTAATGTGTTACTCATTTATCGAGTTAAATGTATCTAAAATTTAAAGGCCTAATTATTTTAGATTTTCGGATAATCTGAAAGTAGATTTTATCCAATCCGTATCCAATTTGATTATTCAAAAAAATTCAAATATCCTATTATAAATTATCTGAAAATTAAAAATAAATTAAATATCTGAATTTTTAGATCAAATCACCAAATCAACAGATCGAATCAATTGAATCGAATTTTTTTGCCCAACCTTAGGTGTCAAGGGAGGAAGACCTAGTAATACAGTGAAACATCGAATCAAACCAAAATCACACGTCAAATTTCATCATTACTAGCTCCGTTACTTTTGACCATTTCATCATTGGTTATTTCCAATCATTTGTTAACAGTATCATAATTAACATATCTCTCTTTGTGTGACTTGATAAATACTAAAATAATTAAGGGTAAATTATTAGTTTAGTATCTAAAATATCAGTTTTGATTCGTCTTAGTACTTAAACTTTTAATTTTTTTAGAAATCATACCTAAAGTTTAATTTTTATTTTATTTTAGTACCTTTTTCAAAATTTAACATTAAAATTTGAAAAATTTGAAAGTTTATATACTAAAATGAGTTTAAACTGATAGTTTATGCACGTTAAACTTTTAAAGACATGGTACTAAAATAAAATGAAAACTAAATGTTAAATATGGTTTTATGAAAGTATAGATACTAAAACGGATCAAAATTGATAGTTTAAATACTAAATACATAATTTACCCTAAATACTAATGTTAATTTAATAATATCATTATTATTTCATCATATATAAATAATTATGTATTACTCTTATGCATGGGTTCAGCTCAAATTCGGTCCATAAAAACATATACCTATCTAAAGGTCAGGTTATCTATTAGACCAGATAAGTGTAACGTACAAATCAAGTTAACTCATTGGTTAAATAAATACATAATTTACCCTAAATACTAATGTTAATTTAATAATATCATTATTATTTCATCATATATAAATAATTATGTATTACTCTTATGCATGGGTTCAGCTCAAATTCGGTCCATAAAAACATATACCTATCTAAAGGTCAGGTTATCTATTAGACCAGATAAGTGTAACTCTGTACAAATCAAGTTAACTCATTGGTTAAAAGAATGATTGTTATTTCTAGAATGTCATATTAGAGTACTAGAGATTGTAGAAAAATATTAGAACATTCATTGTCAAATGATTGAGAACCTTCATATTATCACTTGTAAAACATCCTAGATTAAAAAAAGACTTAAATATACAAAAGGTGCCCAACGTATGTCATTTTTTTCAGTTTGGTGCCTAACGTTTATTTCGCTTTAGTTTGGTGCCTAATATTTCATTTCACATCTCAAATTTGGTCAGAACGTGACGGACAATTAAGTTTAGCCGTTAACCCATTAAAAATACGTACGGGCATATTTTTTAATAGGCTTAAATGGAGGTGTTTGGTGGTCTGTTAGAGAAAGGGAGGGTTTGGTACTCGAGAGAGATGAAGAAAAATGGAGAAAGTAAAAATGGAGGTGTTTTGTGAGTTGGGGGTTGGTTTAAAGTTATAGTTCAAGGGGTAAAGATTTATTTAAGCCTATTAAAAAATATGTCAGGTGGTATTTTTAATGGGTTAATAGTCAAATTTAACGGTTCGTCACGACCTAATCCAATTCGAGTTATGGAATGAAATGTTAGACATCAAACTAAAATAAAATAAACGTTAGACGCTAAACTGAAAAAATAACATACAATATACACATTTTGTATATTTAAGCCCCTAAAAAAAGATAAATGTGTAACCGTAGACAAATCATTTTGTACATTGAATTACCACCCTTTAATTGATATTCACCGTTTATCCATATCCATTAAAAAAATATAATTTTCTTTTTCAAATTCTAATATTATAATCTAAATTTTCTAATTTTTTTCTTAGACATTAACCCATAAATAACTTCCCTCAAAATTCTTTATTTCGGCAAGGTAGCACACTTTACCAATTAACGACATTATTAAATGAAAAACCCTCATTCATTATTTTATTGGAAAAATAATCTTCAAACTACATTAATTAAAAAAAATACTTTTAAACTGTTCACGTATGATAACCTCACGTTTTGTGAAAAAGCAAGGTTAGATCTTATGTTTTACGAAAAGCAGGTTTCATACATTTATTGAGCGACAAAACTGATAATTTATATATTAAATGCGTAGTTTATCTTAAAATAATAAATAGGATTTTTTTTATTTAATAATTTCCCAATTAACCCACACAAAAAAAGAGAGAGAAGGTAATACTCGTAATGATTAGCTCCAATCCAATCCATGTTGTTGTAATCAGAACAAAGGAATATAATAAATCATTGGTCAACTTTATAATTGAAAAAAAAGGAGTTTTGATGGGATTTGGAATTGATCCAAGATTCAATCACCGTTTATGAATAAAATATAATATATAAAATAATAATTTTTTTTAAACATAATCATAAATAGAATTTAATAATTGATAACCACAACTCCATAGTTCATAGTTGTAGATAAAAAATTAGGGTAAACTACACATGTGACTACTAAATTATAGCTCATTTTTCATTTTGTTCATTGACGTTTTGATTCGATCAATCAAACCACCCAACTATTTAAATGATTCAATCAAACCATGAGCTGTTCATTTTTAACGGGGTGGTGACATGACAATTAATAAAATTGGCATAATTATAGATTTGGTTCTTAATATTTACACATTTTATCAATTTAATCGCTATTTTAATAGACATTCTATCAATTTAACCCTCCAATCCGAAGAAGCCACGTGTCACTATAAGATTGGAGAGTTAAATTTATAGAATATGTATTAAAATAGTGGCTAAATTTATAGAATATGTAAATACTAAGGACCAGAATCTATAATTATGCCAATTTTATTATCTATCACGTCACCACCTCCGTTAAAAATTAATGGCCAATGGATTGATTGAAGCATTTAAATAGTTGGGCGGTCTGATTGATCGAGTCAAAACACCAGTGGTCAAAATGAAAAGGGGCTATAGTTTAGTGGTCACCTATGTATTTTACCCTAAAAATTAAACCAAATTTGTTTTTTTGGTTATAGTGGAAATAAGGAAACAGGGGGGTTAAGCAACTTTATAGCCTCTTGGGAAGGAAATCCCCATTCGATCCGTTTTCAGGAAAGGAACCACTTGAGACAACTGGTGTTCAAAAACAATAAGTTCCTCGTCAAAATTACAGCACATCTTTGAGAGTATATCAGCACAAAAGTTCCCCTCATGTGTGAATAGGGATTAGCATAGGTTGGATTTTTGGTTCACCGACCCTAGAATAATGAGTCCTTCATCCGATACCCGACTTGACCCGACTAAAATAAGTTTTCACCCGATCCAAACCTGACTCGATATATAACTTAAAAATCCGACCCGATCTGAAATAATAAAAAAATATTTTTATTCAATAAAAACAATGACTTATTTGAAAAAAATAATATTTTGGAGGTATTATTGTAATTATTTCTAAATATATAAAGTAAAATTATATTTTTTGGGTAGGGTCAGGTCGAGTATTTTTCACCCTAAGCCCGACCTCGACCCGAGCATCACATTTAAAAAAATCCGATCCGAATCCGTTGGATTCGGGTCCCATGCCCATCCGTATATGTGAAGGAAGGTGAGAGATAAGCTACGATTTCTAAGACTCCGTATATCATGTGCACGAGAAAAAAGATAATATATTAACGGGATTGTAATGTAAAATAAAAATATATAGTAACAGATTATCAAACTCTATACTGTTGTTGACGATGTCAACCATTATTTTCAGGGATAGACGTAGACCGGACGGGTGGGAGTGGTCATCCTGAAAAATTAAATTTACTATATACTTTATATTTTTTTATGTATTTTATATTAAAATTCTATTTTCGCATTCTCTAAAAATTTATAAATTCTAATTTACCCTTTTTAAATTTTATAAATTCAAATTAATCCCTAATATAAAACCATGTCCCATCCTTTATTATTCTCTCTTATCTTTGATTGTTAGGGTTTTTTCTTTTTGGGCTTTAAGCTTTGGTTTATCCGATCTCATCATTGAGGGTGGACTTTGTGGCTTTAATCGCATCAATGAGTTCACCCATGGAGGGACCACTCAGCACGTTCATGTGTTTTCTTTTGCAATGATTTAAGCAGTCTCCTTTATTTTAAGATTTTAACTTCACAAACACACACACACTTTTAAATCGTTTAATTATATAAGAGTTTCATTTCATTTATTAATCTAATATTTTATCTAACGACGTTAAAAGGTATTATGTGGCATCATATAATAGAGACGCGTCATTTTGGAGAATTTTTATCTACCATTATATAAATTGACTCGTTAGTCAAAAATATATATTTTTTAATTTTAATTTTTAAAAAATGATACATATATTACAAGATGTTATCGAGACTAAATTTTAAATGTGTTCAGTTACTAATGGTTCGGGACTGTTTTTAACTCTTCATTCAGTTCGTTGTATGATGTGTGTTTGCCTATGGTTCGAAGCACTATTTTTCCTCTAACTAGGTGTTGAGAGGGTTTTTTTAACGAAATACGAATCATTGCTGCCTCGTTTATACGATGACTTTTTTTTAATCATACAAAAAGATTTTCATTAAAAAATTAACATGTAGACTAGTTGATTATATAATTTTTTAGTACATTTGATCACTCAATTATAATTAAATTTCGAGGAAGAGGCAGTTGATGAGGGAACATCGACAAATCAATCCCACCAAAGGGTTTGATCATGCAAACGCCGATGGCTATTGGCATCTATTACTATAATCTGTTGGATTAAAATCCATAATTATATGTACATATTTGTAATGTATATTGTTATCATAAAAATGACATAAATTAAATGATCAATTATGTTATAAAGTCATAAGGTATTGGAAGTGTCATGGAAATAAAAGGATAGATGCTATTAATGTTGTATTTATAACTTGATAAGGGCAGAGTTATAAGTACATACAATAATTGATTATTAAATCAATTATATAAAGGGGTTATGGTCCCCCAGAAATAGACATTCCCGTCAGGAAATTTATACTTAAGTGAACTCTATCTTCTTAGAAAATCATAACCAAAGATATACTCAAGGATTTCAACCTATCAATTAATTCATATACACTTATGCAAATATAATATTTATTCTTTTTGATAGTTGGATCTTGATTGTTTTTTATATTTATTATGATCTTAATTATAACATAATCAACTTTGTTTACACGTGAGACAATAATCCCTCGAGCTGACATGACGCTCCTGCTGCTCCAAATTAAGGCTGCCCACAAAATCCACTAGATTTCATGTACAAAAAGGACAAGACATTAATGAAAACTTGAAAACAGTTATGGGGTTATGTCATTTGTTGGTATCATAAAAGCAATAAACTAAACAAGGCTCAAATAACAAGGTTCCTGGCATTCACTGATATGGTAGATCGATGGCCAACACGTGACCGACTGTAACGTATGGGGATCATCACTAAAGAGAATTGTGTGCTTTGCAACGACGCATTGGAATCTAGGAATCACTTGTTCTTCGATTGCTGCTTCATTTTTGAGGAGCAAAATTCTGCAGCATCAAGAAAAAATGCTCATCATGGGAGGATGTTGTTTGTTTGGGCTCATAGTTTTTGGAAAGAGAAGTCTCTTTTGTCTACCATCCTTAAGTTCGTATGGGGTGCTTCTATATATTTTCTGTGGGAAGAACGCAATAGAAGAATATTTAAAGGATGCTTTCGAACTAATGACGACCTCCTAACTTGCATCAAAGAATGTATAGGAATCAAACTGGGGAAGAACATTAATAGGATTGATAGAGTTAACTTTAACCTCTGGTTTTCTTGGGGTTTTGATTAAAACCGATCGGCTCTTTTATCTGTAGCTTGTATATAATGTCTTGTGATCGGTATTTTTGTAGCATTCTATGCTTCCTTGGGTAATAAAATTGACGAATTATCCAAATAACAATCATATATCCACTAATCGTTCGATAAATTCCAATGATAAAAAAATTATTATCTCTGAAATAATATTTTGAATTCGAGTTTTATAAATAAAAAACAACGTTAAATTTTTTTAATCTCAATTCTACTTCCATTAAATGAGAAAACATATTGGGCTTTTGTCTAATGGTTCTTCCAATCAGAAACTGGTGTTGGACTCAAATGTATATGAGCCCAAATATTTATTCGTGTAATTTAAAGTTCATAACTCTAATAAATAACCTAGCTTATTAGTGTTAGTTTCTAATAAGTATATCATCGATTCGAAATTAATTACACACACATATATATATATATATATATATATATATATAATAATCTTAATGGTATTAAATCGTTTTAGCATAGATGAACTCTTTTAGTAGTGCTAAACAACATATAAATCAACAATCAGTTAATTTAGTGGAATAATGTACTAAATATTTTTGACAAGTTTAGATGTTCGAATCTTGATATTTTCGAATTGAATAAATTGGATTAGAAGGATCGTCATCACATTTGTAATACTCGATCTGGATTAATCGAATAATATATAGAATAGAGGTGATTATAAAAAAACAAAAAATAAAATTATAATGAAACCTAAAACTGAAATAATAAAATTTAAAAGAGCATCTTGACTTTGCATAGCCCAAGCCTGGAGCACCTTTGGTTAAAGCTTTTGTTAGATCAATTGTTCGCATATGAACGGGGTTGGAACTGGACAACCCCCTTTTCTCCATATTTTTTAAGCCTTGTTGCCTAATTTGGGCCGTAAACGAGCGAAATCGAGTTTGAGTATTATTTAGTCGATTTGATTCAAAATATTTTAAAATGAAGCTCGATTCGGCTCGAAAATTCACGGTGTTAAAATTTTTAAGTTAGAATCGAATTCAAAATCATGAATTGAATTTCGAAAAGGCTCGCCAAAGCTCAAAATAAAAAAATTTTCTTGAACTTTCGAGTTGCTCGTAAAATTTTCGAGTTGAGAATCAAATAGTTCTTTAAGAACTTGAGTCGAACTCGAGCTCGAGTCGAATCAATTTATATTGAATATTTATCAATCGTTGATCGAATCAATCTCGAGTAGCTCTAGATCTGCCTAAGCTTGAGCTCCAAAGTACTGGCTCACCGTTGACCGTCCATCCTCTTTAACTAAGAACCAAGAATATGCTAATCAGAAAGGCCGTAAAAGAATATGCTCCAATTGTTCTTTTTCATCTTTTTTTTTTCAAGTCCAAGCTACCATTGTCATCAGGCCATTGGCGTAAACATGGATAATATTCAATATTATAAATAAATGCAAATAAAACAAGGCTTTCGCCATGTAATAATTTCCTCGAAACACGCTTCTGGTTTCTGTCATCGGTTGATTCAGTGTTTGAAAGCATCAAATAATGATTAACGTATTAATTCTTGGAAAACTATATTTAATATATTATATTTCATGCATATCGAGGATTAATTAATGTAATCAGACACTGATTAGCAATT